ACGTAGCAGTGTGCTGTCACCTACCGGCACATTGACGTAGCAGTGTGCTGTCACCTGCCGGTACATTGACGTAGCAGTGTGCTGCGACCTGCTGGCTTAATAACATGTCAGTGTGCTGCCACCTGCTGGTATATTAAGGTAGCAGTGTGCTGCCACTTGCTGGGTTCGTTGACGTAGCTGTGTGCTGCCACCTGCTGGTATATTAAGGTAGCAGTGTGCTGCCATCTGCTGGTATATTAAGGTAGCAGTGTGCTGTTATTACCAAGGAGCTACATATAACATGTATACGTATATGTTATATGTTATAATATGTTATAATAAATATGTTATATGTAGCTCCTTGGTTATTACAACTGTTGTTACAGTGTGTCAGTCGATAGGCGCCGGTCTGCAGGGTGGACTAATCCGCTCTCCGGGATTCAAACATATCAAGTATCAGCTGAAGACGGCCTGCGATTGGCGGCTGCAGGTCCGCGCCGGCCAGCGAATCATGCTGCACTTCACACAGTGGCTCGGCGTCGAAGGAAACATGGCCGGTAACGCCATCTAACGTCTCTTTTTATTTAGTTTTAAGTTTTAATTTTTTAATTTTTAATTTTTCATGATGCTCTTTTTTTCTTTTTATCAAATCGAATTTTCTAATCTCATTTTTACAAAGATATCACATCTATTTTTAATTGTTTTGTTACGCGTTTTCTGCCTGCGTGTCCACTCCTTCGTGCGCAAGCGTGTACGCCTCTGGGATCGTTAAAGATTTTTGTGATGTTTTTGCTCGTTTTACGCGATTCATCGACTTTCCATGCAATCATGTCCGAAATTTATTTTGCAATCCGCGTAATCTGATCTAATATTGTTCAGCTACGAGTGAGATACCTCCTACAGGGAATTCTATCACTAACACAACTAAGCGACTGTATAGTGTTCTGTAATATTTAATAAAGCGCTGTTCCGCAAATAGTCATTAAATAGTCGCTTGAATGCTGTACATTCTAAATGCTTTCATTTAGAGAATAGAGCATCCGAAATTATTTGCCTCTACAAACCTATACTACTGTTCACAAGTGGCATTCGGGTTTCTTTTGAGCGTGGTTCCCCTCATGATTATTGTCGCTGAGTTGGTCGAGCTAAACAAGTTACCTCCGCCAAGGAGATTATGTTTTCGCCTCCGTTAGTTTGTTTGTTGGTTTGTTTGTCTGTCCATTGCTATACCAGATTAAATTGACCCTATTGGTAA